TTTATTTTCGTGGGCTCAAGGGGGACAAGAGTCTGTAAATATTTTTTTGAAATGAGCTTATTCTGGAAATTCCTGGATACACGTTTTTACTGACTGTTTAAAAAGCTCACGGAAAAATTTCCTGTGGATGATGTGGGGCATAGGAGACTAATCTCCTTGCAAGGCTCAGAGGGTGCATTCCTCTTAGAAGAATCTGCTGTGTACATTTGAAAACTAAGGTTCTTATACGAAGTCATTTATATAAAGAAGCAGTATTGCTTTTCAATATTCTCACCAGAAGAAGAACATCATATTTGGACATCAGAGGAAAAAATAGGAGACAGGTTGCTTGACTGGTCAGTAGTTGAGGTATGGAGAGAGAGTGGCTTTAGTTTACTGCCAAGCTTTACACATTTAGTAGAAAAACCATTATTTGGACTCATTTTCGTAGCTTTGGACACATTTCCTTTCCATGGTAAGCAACCGCTCCTTGCCTTGAAGGATTCCTTTAACACACCTTGCTTTGTTTGTCTTGTCTATCACTCACACTTGCAAGCTGAGACAACACCAAAACGGCTCGACCCTAACAAAACATGGCTCGCTCCACAAAGCACACACGGCCTTGGAATTCCTCCTCCCACTCTGGGATACACTGCTATCCACGGCTCAGCAGGGGCAGCGCTGCTGGAGGGACCCAAACATCCAACCTCAAAGGGGATGAGGAAAGAGCACCAGAACACGTTCGCAGAGGCCCCAGGAGAAGCTGGGCTGTGTCAGGTCACCCGGGACAGCAGTGCTGCCCCCGTGCTCAACTAAATCCTCTGCTGGAAAACAATCACAGCCAGGGTGTTTTTAAGCCCAGAGCAGGGGAGTGTGAAGCCCCAACTTAGCTCTGCTGGCACCCCCCGGGTGTGAAGAGCAGACACTGGGACACAAAGGCTGGTCCCTGCGGTGGGGAGGGCATGTCCCATGAAAGGGGGGCATGACCCCAATGGAGGGGGTGGCTACATTCCATGGGGGTGCTGATCCAAAGGGGAGCACACAAACCAGGCTGTAGGGAGCGGCAGAACCCAAAATGGGGTTCACATCTCACACGGGATGAGGAGGGAACACAATCCAAATGAGGGGTCCACACAATGGAACAGCCATGACCCAAAAAGTGGGCACTAATATATGGCAGGGTACAAGACCCAAAGGGGGGTTCACATCTCACAGTGAGATGGAGTGGGAGTGAGGTGGGAACTGCAAACAGGGGTCCATACAGGGGAAGGACCATGACCCACAAGGGGGGGTTACAATTCACACCACAGGGATAAAACACCACGACCCAAAACGGGGAGGGGAGCCTGCAGCGTGGGACATGAACCAAAATGGGGTCCGCACCTCACACCGTGGGGAGCACGGGGGAAACACAACCCCAAGCGGGGGGTCTACACCAAGGAAGGATGACGAGCCACAAGGGGGACATTTAACATCTCACACAGGGCAGTACACGACCTAAGCAGGGGAGCCTACACCGGTAGGCACGAATCAAAACGGGGTCCGCACCTCACACCTGAGGGGGTACAAAGCCCTAAGCAGGGGGCTTAAACTGCAGGGCATGAACAAAAATGGGGTCCACACCTCACACCGGGGGCACAGCCCAAAGGAGGGGGCTCACACGAGCAGGAGGGGGCCTAGACCCCAAAGGGGGATGCATCCCAAGGGGATGGGGATCCCAAGGGGACTCTGCCCCCTCGCCCCCCCCCCCCCCCGCAGTCGCGACACGGGGGGCGCGCGCCTGGCCACGCCCCCCGCGATGAAGGGGGCGTGGCCCGCGCGGCTCGCGCAGCGGGGGCTCCCCGGGGAGGGGGCGTGTCCTCTGCTGAAGGGGGCGTGTCTACGGGGGCCACCGGCAGGGGGGCGTGTCCCCCCTCCCCCTCACCGAGCCGGGGAGGAGGGGGGCGTGAGGCGAAAGCGAGCGCGTCTGTCCCCCCCCAAAAACACCCCTTCATATATAACATGGCCGCGGGCCTTTCCCACCTGCGCCACATGGCCGCTGGCTTTCCCGCCCTCCCACCGCGCCCGCAAACGGACCCGCCGCCGATGCGCGGATGAGGGCCCGGCGAGGGGGGGGGAGCTGTCGGCACCTACCCGAAGCCATGGCGGCGGCGCTGAGGGGGCGGCGGGAGCGGAGGGAGCGCAGGGACCGACCCGCCCGCCGCGCCGGCCGCGCGCACACTGAGCCACCCGCAGCTCGCGCGGACTGCGGGGCCCGCCGGCCAATCGGCGCGCGCGGCGCCTACCACTCACCGCCCGGCTGGGGGGGGGGACGGGGGGACGGGAGCGAGAAGGACCGTGCCAAAGTACAGCGGGCGGGGGAGGGGGGGGGTGTGTGTTTGAGGGCTGTGAGCGCACAGCGGGAATGGCGTGAAAGGAATGAATTAGTTTAATTAATACGTGGTCAGGGTGCTCACGGGGAGATAATGGGGCTGTGCGCCCCGGCTTTTCGCCCCTCCCCGGCCTCCCAGCCCCGCGGTTCCCTCGCGGCGCCCCGGTTGTGCATCCCCGTTTGTGGCAGATGCTGAATGGAGTTCAAAGAAAACATCTGAAATCTGGGTTCTGAAGGATAAAATGGTTTGGCAGGGGTTTTGGCTATCTTTAAAAAAGGGCAAATGTCAGCTTGGAGAACGCTCTAAAGAAAGGGGTCATGAGCTTGGGAGCCACTTCTATGAAACTGAAGGTTTGCTTCAGAGAGGAGCGATGAACTAAGACAGCAAAAGCAACGCTGATTGTTTAATCTGATCATTTTTACAAGCTGTGTTTCTTGTTTCAGATCAAGGTGCCTTCTTGTGGGAGTTGGGAAGTTAGCAGTTGCAGCTTTCTGTCTAGGAAAAGTGTGCACATGCATCAGCCAAAGAACAGCGAGGTTTTACCCTGTTTTTATTTTCAAAGGCAGTGAGGAGCCTTCTCTGATTTCAGCTGAATGTTTTGAGCAGATTTGCAGAGAAGTTGGGCTGTTTCTTCTCCCCCTGGGCGTAGCAGCAGGAGGCAAATCCCACTGCCACAGCCGAAAATAAGTTTCTGCAAAACAGGCAGTGACTGGAATGATTAATTAAAAAAAAAAAAAAAAAAAAAAAAAAAAAAAAAAAAAAAAAAAAAAAAAAAAAAAAAAAAAGGAGGGAGTTGAACTCCCTGTCTGTCTTTTGGCTTCTCCTTGAGAAACTTCATCTCTTCCAGCCATGACGTTTTGTCCTGTGCCATAAGCCTTCCTGTGACAATCTGGGACCTCACAAAGGCTGCCTGTGCAATGTTGGGATTAGGAGAGATCCCAAACAGTGCTCCATAGCCGGGGGAGGTGGAGGGATCTTTTGCTCTAGGAGAGCCTCTCAGTGTTTGTGCATTCCTTAGGGACTGAAGGATTCTCATAAATGGAAACTGGAATTAGTTGCGAGTTACAAGCCTATGTGTCTGTCTGTCTGTCTGCTGATAGATCTGTGCTGTGTTCTCCTGTGGCTCCCAGTCAAAAACTTTGAAGCTGGGATGTGGAAAACACATCAGCCCCCCAACCCTCTGCTCTTCCCCCTTGGCTGGAAAACGGCAGAGTTGACAGAATCAGAATCATTGGGGTTGGAAAGGACCTCTGGAAGTCATCTGGTCCAACCCCCCTGCCAAGGCTGGGTCACCCAGAGCAGGTGACACAGGAACGTGTCCAGGTGGGATGCATGGTGTCAACAGATTTTCTCCTTTTGCACAAATACAGTCTTTTTCTACCACAATATCCACAGCTCCATCCCCAAATCTCCTCCTCCTACAAACTCAAGAACAGATGTGATTGTTGTGGTCAGTGCTGACCATGTGTGTAAAGCAAGCTAGAGGTCATGACCATAAGGAAGGATTTGCCTTGGAGGGATCAGATTAAGTTCTCCTTAGTCCATCATCTCCCTATGAAACCTGCAAGAACTTTGGTATCTTTATTTCTGAGCAGCCAATTCCTCTCCTAAATCTGACTAAAACTGCCAAGTGATTAAGCCAATATTGCTGGGGAATCAAAGACAGACACAAAATGTGAGCCTCATGCAGGTTCAGCCTTGTTTGAGCACACAAATGTGGAGGAGGGATGTGCCTCCATTTGCTCCAGCACAGGTGGAAAGGTGCATGTGTGGTGTGGACACTCCTCTCCACCTCCATCTGTCACACCTGAAGGAAAACACTTGTTCTGTGTCCAGTTCCACAATTCAGGGAGGACACTGAGGGATTGGAGCTAGTCCAGGGCAGGGCAATGAAACTGGTGAAGGGTCTGGAGCACAAGGCTGATGAGGAGACGCTGAGGGGGCTCAGTCTGGAGAAAAGGAGGCTTGGAAGGACCTTCTCTCTCTAAAACTCCCTGACAGGAGGTTGGAGCCAGGTGGGGGTCCGGCTCTGCTCCCTGGCAACCAGTGACAGGATGAGAGGACATAGGCTGAAGCTGTGCCAGGGGAGGTTCAGGCTGGACATCAGGAGGAATTTCTACACGGAAAGGGTGACTAGACATTGGAATGGGCTGTTCAGGGAGGTGGTGGAGCCACTGTCCCTGGAGGTGTTTAAGGAAAGACGGGACATGTCACTCAGTGCTCTGATCTGGTTGACAAGGTGGTGTTTGGTCACAGGTTGGACTCGATGAACTCACAGGTCTTTTCTATCCTCACTGACCCTGTGATTCTGTGATTCCCAGCAGCCTGACTTCGTGGAGTAGGGAAGTGAGGACTGCATTGGCCTGGCTGGGCCTCTTGCACCTGAGGGCGGCTGCTCATGGGGAGACCCGGCTGTAACCCAGCTCGGACAGGCTCCCAGCGAGACCTCACATATCCCCACGGGGTTCTTTTCCCCTTCTGGACAAGGATAAAACCCCAATAATTAAATAAAAATTCAAAAGGAGGCGGGGGGGGGAGAGCCCCACCCCCGCGCGTCTCCATGGTAACGGGCCCGCAGCACCCCGCGTTGCCATGGTAACCCCCAGGCCTTCCGGCGGCGGCCGGAAGTGGCGGGCGCGCGGGGCGGCAATGGCGGCGCCCAGGGCTCCGCCGGCCGCCGCTGCCCTCACGGTGCTGCTTTCGGTCGCGGCTTCCGCGCCCGGGATCCTGCGGGGTGTCCCCTCCTCTCGCTCCGCCGCCTCGCTGCGCCCCGCCGCCCTGCGCGACGGGGAAGGTGAGCGGGGGCCGCCCGCGGGGGTAGCCGCTGCCTTCTTGGTTCCCTATCCCACCCTACCCCCTTCCTCTGTGGGTCCCCCATTTCAGACCTTCCCCAAATCCCCACAGAGCCTTCGTGTCGCTCTCATTACGCGCCTTCTCCAAGCCCCAGCGGAGCCTCTGTGTCCCCGCCCTCTGCTCCTTCCGTAAATCCCCGACGGATCCTTTGTGTCCTCGCATTCCCGGCCTCCCCCAAATCCCCAGTGGAGCTTTTGTGTGTTCCCTCTCCCATCCCTCCCCTCAGCCCCCAATTCTGGGCACTTCCTCAAGTCCCTCCCTGAGCCCGCTGCCACCCATGTCCCACCTCCCAGTGCTCCTTTTCCTCCCACATTCCATGCTCTTCCCTGACCTGGGCACCCATCTCAGCCCCCTCACATCAGGCGGCTCCCCTTTACACTCATCTCTGACACTAAGCACAGTGTGAGTTTCCAGGGATTTTCTTTCCTCAGTCCTGGTGTTATTTCCAGAATGATTTTTGTCACATTTCTAATTCCCGTATCCCAGCTCACCCCTGTGCAGTGATTTCCTTTAGCAGTGTGAGGTTCTGAGCTGATGGGTGAAATCCACCACCTCCTCACGTTTCTCCACGGGTTGTTTTGTTTTTCACTGCTGTTTTTCTGGCTGTGGGACTGAGGTTGGTGGAAGGGAGGTAGAGAACTCTTTGATTGCATCCTTGCTGAATGCCCAGGAGGACGGCTGTCCAAAGGGCCTGGGAGCACTTCTGAGGTGTGAGGTTTGGTGAGGAAGGTCAGCCTTCCAGCAGATTAAGGAGTGGGGGTTTTTTGCCAAAATCTTTGTTATAATAACATCTATTTTTATGTCTCTTGCCTTCTCTTTTAATGAGACTGAAATTTACTACAGATGCTGCTGCTTTTTTCCAGGCAGCTTCCCAGGAAGCAGCAAAGAGTCAGCCCATATGTTTGTGACACCCAAGATAGCACTTGTTTTACTCTGTCTGGTTATTTATGGCTGGTTTTAAAGGCCTTGAGTTCCTTCTTTTCTACACCAGCCTAGAAAAGGAAAGCCATTAATTAATCCCGTGGGCTCTCTCTCCCTCTACTCAAGCCTGTGATTGTGGTTTAAAGCAATTAAAAGCTGTGTCTGTCCGTGCTCAGTTCACAGGTTGGTCACCTACACCTTTGTCTATGAAGATCTGATCTCCCTGACCTGCGGTGCCGTTGCCATCTGGTACTTTGCTGGCAGCTTTGAGAGGAACGTGGGCACAGCGAAGCACTGCCTCCTCACCATCACCTTCTCCGTGCTCTCTGCCCTCCTCTACCTCCTCCTGGAGCCCCTTGTCTCCCGGGTGTGGCAGGTGGGAGATGCCAAAGGGTTCCTGCCGGTGGCTTTTGCCATGCTGGGTGTGTCCACCACCCGCTCGCGGATGAAGAGGACTCTGATTTTCGGGTGCCGGGTTCCAGTGGTGCTGGTGCCCTGGTTTGTGCTCTGCATGGCGTGGTTTATCCCCCACTCCTCTCTCCTGGGTAACCTGTGTGGGCTCCTGGTGGGGGAAGCCTGTATCCTTTCCAAGTGGCAAGCTCTGAGCCGGAGTGGGATCATTGGTTTGGGATGGGAAGGAGGTGATGTGGTTCTTTTGCTTTTTATGGTCTTTCCTGGGCTCTTGCTCTGCATTAAACCCTCCCTGGCTTTGCTCATCCTGTGTTGGTTTTCCACCTCATTCTTCCACTTCCCCGGTGATCTTTGTGCACACAGAGAACGTGGAGTGAGGAGGGTGACGGTCTATGAACGTGGTGCTGGGTGGAACTGAGAGAATTCTCCAGGGAAAGTGGTCTGTGGGCAGAGGAGGATTGTGTGTGGCTGTGTTAGGAGTGACTGTGTTTTGTCTGCAGACCTCCTTAACGTGCTCCTGGCTTCAGATGGTCTTGGCTACTGTTTCTGCCTGGATTTTCCAGAGTCAGTGGGCTCTAAGCTGGACCGGGTGTTCCCTTTCACTCTGCTGAAGAGGATCCCAGGGCTGAAATACATCCCAGGGTCCTTAGCAGAGAGAAGAGCTTCTGAAAACACCAAGTAAGTACAGAAGTTCCTGTGGGAGATCTTATAAGGGAATTTTGAAGTGTGAGGAGAGGCTCTAAATCACCTTTAAAATCTGGATTGCGTTTGTTGAGTTCATGTTGTGGGTGTTGGGGGAGGCAGAGTCACCCTTTGATGTTACACCGGTGACATTACTGGGACTAATAAATTACCACTCATTAACTCAACCAGGTCTTGAGTGAAAGCTGAGTGGAGGTGAAAGACCTCTCCTTTGCTTCGAGGGCAGTGTGTGTACACATGCAAAGGTATTGCGGCTCTGGCTGACAGGAAAGTTAAGTTGTGTAACTCTGCCCTGGAATTAGGGTTTAAGGCATTTATTCCTGGCTGTGTGGCTCCCTGGGGTGTGATCCCTATCTTTATTTGCCCCACCTCATCTCCCAGGAATGCTGTGAAGTGAGTTGTGTCCAAACCTTTGTAGGAGCAGAGCGTTATAAATCAAGGATGTCATTTACAAAGTGGCCTTTTGGTCTTTTTTAGCCTTTCAGCAGGTTTTCAGTGCCAAGACAATGTTGCTTTACTGAAAAAAACCACCTTAGGGCCCATGGCTGACGTTCAGGAGTGTCTTTAAGTTTATGTATTATCACAAGCCTTGAGAACTTACTTGTATTCTAAAAAGCTTGAAAATGCAGGTCAAATATTTACCTGTTCTAAGGTGCCATTTCAGCTTCACAGAGGAAGGATAGTTTTCTGTTAAGGGTTAAATTCTGTGTTTTGTTTAAGCCCTCAGCTCGTTGTAAAGCTTTATTTGAAGTGGAAGCATTTCCAGGTGTTTGCATTGCCCTCACCCATGGGGAAGCCATAAAATCAACCCTTGCCTGCAGCAGGAGTGTCCCCCAGGTCCATGAGGGCACTCAAACGTGGGAGTGCTTGCAGGGAGAGCGGGCAGATCCAGCAGCATTTGTGCAAGTGCAGCTTTTGGGAGGAGGGACTGTCTCCATGCTGAGCCTGTGCCAGCATCAGTACAATCCTGCTGTGCACAGCACCTCAGGGTCTAAACCTGCTTCCTTTGGTGAGGTGACACAGACTGTTGTGACACAAAGGTACTTACATGAATGTCTGACTATCCAGCAGAGCGTGGGAAGGTGTTTCTAGGATGCTTCCACTGCTGCAGATAAATTTGCATGTCTGTGTCTTAGATACAACTTCTGTATGTGCTTCTGCAGCTTCATGTTGGTTATTCTGGTTTTTAATAGTTTGGGATTCGTTTTCTTCTTAAATTTTCATAAGATTCAGGCATCAACTTGCCACCAGGCAGGACACGTTTCTAGGAGGTCCAGGCTTTGGCATCATGTTTGTGTCCACAAATAAAATTAAAAAAAAAAAACAAAGCCAACCCAAGATCAAATTAATAATTTAAACCCAAAAATCTAAGCCTGAAAACCCCAGCCTGAGCCAGTCTCTTGTTCTTGCTGGGAGTCTGGCAGTCATGGCTTCATGAATACTGCCTTGGTTCTCAGCGCTCATCTGCATGTTGTGCGTGGGCTGAGCAGCACTCCTGAAGTCCCAGAGGCTTCAGCTTCTAGGCAGATTGCCTCTCTCTTGTTTTGGCTGGATGAGTCATCCCTTCTGCTGGCAAAGACTTTCTAGCCCTTGCCTCTGAATAATTAATTTAATCTCTAACTCTCCCCTCCTTTTCTTTTTTTGCTTTATACTCCGGGCTCTTACTCGCACCGAGGGCCTTTACGTTTTCTTGATAAACACTTGGCAGCTGTGACTTCTCCTGATGAATGCCTTGGCAGATGTGTCCCTCGCAGGCCAGGGAGGATGTGCCCAGGAATTTCAAAGCACGTTGAAGTTTGGCTTTTGTGTGTTCCTTGCACAAAGATTCTGGGGCCAAGAACCATGCTCGTTCAGTGGGTGTGGAATTGGCGTGGGTTGGCAGTGGGAACATCTGTCCTGAGAGGCCAGTAAACCTATTTTTTACTCAAGTGCTGCTTATAATAAGAGCTTCTGTTGTAGTGAATCCCTCTGATGGATTGCAGTGACCTCTCTGAGCGCTGGTCAGGAGGAAATCAACCCCCAGGGCACTTCCAGTGCTAATTAGGCAATGCCAGTTCTGAGCACTGTGTAACCTTCTGTTTTCTTCCTGCCCAGGATTAACCCTGCACCAGGCACTTACCCCACCCAAAACTACTACTGCCCTTCGCCTCCCGCTCTTCCTGCTTCCCAGATGCAGCATTCCAACGCTCAGAGCCAGGGCTTTCATCACAGCTGCGCTCCGGGACATGGCCGGGTGCCGGGACACGAGGGATCTCAGCAGGGCCACGCTGCAGGACACAGCCTCAGTTCTTCCCGCTGCCAATCCAGAGGTGCCTTGGGAGAGTGTTGTGGGCAGGCCCACGTGGGAGCCTCCTCAGGACAGTGCTGCCAGCTGGGCACGTTCTCTCCCCCTCAGCGCGTGTGCCCGACTGATCCACAGCCACCAGCGGGCGTGGGCCCCCTGGCTGGTGCTCAGCAAGCACCAGGGTATCCAGCACCCACAGTGCCTGCTGCTGCAGCTGAATTTACCAGAGTCCAGGTGTACTGATCCTCCAGGGAGCATCAGGACTCACGCAGGGGCAGGACCACTGTGTGATGCTCATGCAGCAGCGCGTTGCTGGCATCTTTGCTGTGTCTGGGGTGACTGTTGGAATGCATTGGTAGCTCCAATGTAAGCCATTCCCCTGCTCCCTGGCACAGGCTACTTGAATTTCCTTTATGATTGGTTTTTTTTACTTTTTAATATTGGTGGAGGTGGGGACTGTATCAGATCAGTGCACTTCTCATCCTTTTGAAGTCTTTTTTCGTTGCTGCATTTAGCAGCTGGCTTTTTCCACACTGCCACTAGAGTTCCAGTGCACCAGCTCCCTGAGTCAAGGTGCAAATCTCACTGTCAAAACACTGGAGTTTAACTAGGCTGCAGCTAAAAGCACCTACTCTTCTTTTACATTTACACTTCTGTCTTGTTTACAGGTGTGATGTAGCTAGGACCCAAAAGAGGTGGGAATCAGGCAAGCCTTAGTTTATAACTTAAATTTTTGAGTGGAGGAGGACAGATGTGTGTTCTACTGGTGACTTCCCCACTAAAAGATTGCCATGAAGAGAGCTTGTTAAACCAAGCTGGGGCAAGAGGATAGAACACAGAGCACCTTTTTCTGCCACCACAAAACACAGCTGTAAAATGCTCAAGGTCCTTCTTAGCTACAGTCTGTGCCTGCATCAACATGGTGCCTTCATTTTCTGATAGCACTGCACCGGCTCAGCCTGTGTCACCAGCACTTGTCAATAAGGCCACCTCAGATGCACGAGAAGTACTGGGAGACTCTTCAGTAACAAATTTTGGCCATTTGTGGGGCAAATGTTTATAAATCCAAGGAATGTTGCAGTGCTGTTGGGGGTGTTCACACTGCTCAGCTTTAGAAGTCTCACCTACCAATATTAGCACGATCGCTCTGTTTTCTTCAGAGCTGGTGGGCAGGCGTGTGGGAGAGGGGAGTTTTCAGCAAAGGATTTGGAGCAGGTTGCACTGTTTGGTGCCTATGGCTGTAATGAAGAAGGTTGGTCGAGTTGCAGGGATTTGAGAGTTATTCCCAGCTGCGTAGCTGCTGGACTGTGCCATGCCCAGGAGGAATCTGCTGTCTCTGTGTCTGTAAATCAGCCAGGATCTCAACTATTGCCCTTGACTCTGCTCAGAGTTTTGTTGAGTTCCAAAACAAACAAACAAACAAACAAACAAAAAAAAAAAAAAAAAAAAAAAAAAAAAAAAAAAAAAAAAAAAAAAAAAAAAAGTGCTGCATGAAGCATAAAGTGCCATTACTGCTCCTGGAGATGTTCCTGCAGTGCCTCACTCGTCCCCCAGAAACACAACAGCCTCGGGGTTCCTCTGTGCTCCCAGGGAGCCTGACCAGAGGCAGCTCTGACAGCTGCATGTTCCAAAACAAGTCCATGCCCCTTTGATTTTTCCATCATCAATGTCTAAGGAAACCCCTTGTTGCTGTGCAGCCACTTCTCCAGCAGGCTGGATTTGAGGGCCAGCTCCCTCTCGTCCCTGATTGTTTCACTCCTCCACGGGGTCACAAATGGAATTGACTTCATGGTCCTGTTTTTCCTGCTGGCAGCAGTTGCATTGTTAAGTGTTTAGTGTGGAGCAAGAGCGGGATAAGGAGCTTGTTTGGAATTTAAAAGCATGTTTTTAATACCAGGAAAGAAATGCTAGAGATAACATTGAAATGTTGATACTCCACTCTCTCCTAGTGCCTTGATTTTTTCCTCCTTGTGAAATCCTTGCCTGTAAACCTAGGAATTTTATCACTGATTTTTCCAGGAGGGTGATGAGCATTGATAGCAATCATGAATGTTGGGAACTGGAAATAGAATCTGAAAGACAAATTGCTACGGTCTCTGGGTTTGCTTTCAAACGGGGAGGTGGAACGCTCCCCTCCGGCTGGTGGGCTGGGTGGGGTGGGATCTGTGGGGCGGGATCTGTGGGATGGGCTGCGGGTGGCTGACGGGTGCCAGCTCCATGTCAGGCTGGCGGCTTTGGACGCGCACTGGGGACAAGTGGAACTGCACCCTGGAAAACGCTGGAAGCCGGTTATTTTTCCTTTCCAACTCTTTATCAGTAGATCTGGCGAGAGATTCCCTCTCCCTGCAGAGCTGTCAAAGGGATGGCGCGTTTCCAGGGAGTAGTTTCCTGGTTTCATAGTGGCGGAGGAAGTCCTGGCCTGTAGGAGTCACCGCAGTGTCGCTGCCGGCACCGGGAACAGGACCAGGAACAGCCTCGATCCCGGGGAACAGACAGCAAACCTTCCAGGGGCTGAGCTGGGCCCCTTGGCCCCGGCAGTGGGGGGACATTCCTGCCTGGGGACATTCCTTTCCATGCTGGGACAAGACAACTGCCACAGCCTTCCAGGTGAGCAGGACCTGCCAGATAGGGACAAAACCACATTTTGTTTGGTTTGTTTCTTTGTTTTTTCCTTCTGCTCCCAAGTCTTTTAGAAGCTTCTGGGTGACCTTGGCAGATCACTTGGTTTCTCTGATCTCTGCATCTTCCACCGTGTCCCCAGGGCTGTTCCAAGTCCAGCTGCACCCACTTGTCCAGTGCAACGTGTTGTACCTTCAGTTTTGTTTTCTAGTGAGATCTGTTCCCTGCTTTCCCGAGGGCAGCTGTTCCACAGTGAAACGCCGTTGTATAAATGAGCCAAGGACCTTCTGCTTCTCCAGCAGTGGAGTCCAAGCAAGTTCCAGTTCCCCAGGGCTGGTGGCAAGCTCAGAACTCCTTGCCCAGCGAAGGAAAGTTGCTGGGAGGGTGGAAAGGTGTTGGGATGAGACATTTTCAAACGTGTCTAAGGCTCGAAAGAGGAATTAAATCTGGCAGAGAGGGAAGTGAAAGTCATCAGCTCATTGGGCTTTGGCATTTGCCTCACTAAGCTCCCGGCAATGTTACTCATTGCACGTTGCAATACCAGCTCGTTTCCTTGGTGGGGAGACAGAGAATGGAAGTTCCTAAAGCAGGAAGGAAGAAAAAAAAAAAAAAAAAAAAAGAGAGAAAAAAAGTCAATAACCTCCCAGTTCAGCCCGGGATGGCTGCCCCTGGAAACGTGCTGTCCCTGGAGCTTTGTTATTCTGTGCCCCTGGTGCATTTCCAGTAAAGGCCACTTCATTCAGTGCCAGGATTACGTCTGCCCCGGAATCGGGGTGTGCAGAGAGTCCAGAACACCCCTTGGGTTGACCTCCTGTCCTCAGAGCGTCACTGCAGAGTGACAAAACTCTGGGTCAAGCGCTGGGAGCTGAGCCAGCTGCCCCCTGTTCTCGGGATAGTCATCCTGGTGCAGGAAGGATGCTCTGGAAGAGCCCAGCTCTGTCCTCTCTGCTCTTCTGCACCCACTGTGGTGCAAGAGAAAAGGAGTGGAGGGTACATGATGAAAGCAGAACTGACTTGGACCTGCATTGCTGCCCCATTTGAGAGCAAGGGGGGTGCTGCAGAGTGGGGAGACCAGGCAGGAGACTGATGCTGGAAGGAAAATGGGTCTGTGTTCCTTTGCTTTTCTGACCAGAGCCACTCCGAGACAATTCCATGGGGTTGATCCCAAAACTGATGCAGGTGGCAGTGGTGCCCACGTGACCTTACACCCCTCTACCCTCTGCTTGGATGCCATCATGAAAGGGGGTGTTCCTGCAGCCCTGGGCACTGCTGCCTCAGAGCTGGTGCTTTTTGGGTCCTGCCCCCTCCTCACACCCCTCCTGGTCCCCCGGGTGCCTGCCAGCCCCAGCTTGGACTTTGCACCTTCCCTGAGGGTTTTATTGACTCTGTAGGGAGTGTTAACACAGCGACAGCATCAGCATGGTGACTCTGGATGTGCCACTGCCTGGCTGAGAGAGGGGACACACACGGCCTGGGGCTGCTCGGTGGGGTCAGGGCAGGCTGTGTGCCTGGCTTTGGACAGGCTGGACTTAGCAGAGCTGTGAGCCAGCTTCCCAAAAAAGGGAGAGAGGAGAGCGGTGGTCCCTCCGTGCCTGTGGGACCCGGGGTCTGGGTTGCAAAATGTCTCTCTGGGACTGCTGGGGATGTTTTCGGAGCTGCTTGTGCAATTCCCCGGTGGTGGCAGTGTGAGTGCTGAGAGGAAGGCCGCCCCAAAACATCCGAAACATGTGCTCTGTGGTTAAATCAGGAGCATGTGCTTGTGCTGGCTGTAAGCTGGCTGGGCGGGGAGCCCCTCGGGTCCCAGGGAGGGGCGGCAGTGACCAGGTTCCAGCCTCTATCCAGGGGTCCCCTGACCCCCCTTGGGCCCTGTGCCATGGCAGGGACCTTTGGGGACTCTGGGGGGCCCCACAGGAGCACCATGAGCACACAGGCACCCCACGTGGCCACAGACAGGGCTCTCGGGTCTGGGGATCCTGTCTCTGGCACAGCCTGTGTCCAAAAACTGACCCCAGCACCCTGGCCCCAGCCCATGACACCACCGTGACCCCAAACACGGCTTCGCCATGACCCCACCCCTGACCTTAAACCCACCTTGACTGCAAACCAGACCTGATCTCTGGCGCCACTTCTGCCCCCCACCTTCACCCCCCAAATACAGTGTTGGCTCCAGTGCTGTCTCCCCACCTTGCCTCAACCCCGATCCCCTGCTTATACCCACTGTGTGAACCCCGAATCTCCCCGACCCCCCCTTTTCCTCCCGCCCCGCCCCAGCGCTCCTGTCCCTTTAAGACCCCGCCGTCCTGGGGCCGTACCAACGCTCCCCCGCAGAGGGGGGGGAATCTGATTCGGTAGGCGCGCTCGCAGCCTATTGGCGGGCGGCGTGGGCGGAGCGTGTTCCCCCCCGCGCGTGTGGCCGAGTGGTACGGCCTGCGGTACGTGCCGGTCGCGCCGGGGCTGCGGGAGCCGCCGGGTACAGAGCGGGCCGGGCCGGCGGTGGGTGCGGGGCTCCGGGGGGACAGCGGGGACCGGCGGTGGGTGCGGGGCTCCGGGGGGAATGAGGAGGAGTGGGCTCGGGGGTCCCCTGTGCCTGGGGCGGGGGGGCTTGTCTCCGCCACTGGGGTCTTCTCTGGTGGGGAGGGGGCGGGTGGGCATCCGCTGATGGGATGGGATGGGATGGGATGGGATGGGATGGGATGGGATGGGATGGGATGGGATGGGATGGGATGGGGGTGCCCCTCTTGTACTGGGGGGACTGGTGTGACTGGCTCCCTGTGGTTGTGAGGAGTGGGATGATGAGGTCCCGCGTATGGCGAGGCTGGTGTGAGCGGTCCCGCTGTGGTTTTGGGGGAGGTCGATGTGAATGGAACCTCTTTTATTTGGGTGGACTGGGGTGACCCTCTGGTCATCCTGTTATCTGGAGTCCAGTGTGACTGGATCCCTGTCTTTAGGGGGATACTGGGATATCTAGAGCTCCCTCTTGTTCAGGGTGTTGAGGGGGAACTGGGATGACCAGACTTCCCTGTTATTTGGGGCATCTGATGTGACTGGTCCCCTGTTATTTGGCAGGGATGAGTAGAGTACCTTTTTGGGGGGGGGGAGTCTGGTCTGACTGGATCTCCATTTTGAAGGGGAGTGGGATGATCAGAGGCCTCTGTTATTTGGGGGGTCTGGTGTGACTGAGCACCCTGTTACTGGGGGTACTGGTGTGACCAGGGTCCCCTATATGGGGGGGGCTGGCATGAGTGGCCCCACTGTAATTTGGGGTACCCCTGTGAGGCAGGGGGCTGACCTGTGGTAGGGCTGAGGTGGGGTGTGAGGCAGGGTGGGCAGCCAGGGAGGGGGTGATGCCTCCCCTGTATCACTTCCACAGCACTGAAGGGTTGCTCAGACTTACCCCATCTCAGGCTGTTGCTGGTTAAAAGCCTTTAATGAGCTTAATTTTCTGGCACTTCCCTGCAGAACGGTACTCCCAGCATTTAACTGACAACTTTGCTGTAGGCTGGGCTGCTTTGCTGTTGTTCCACCTATTTAACTTTATAAGCTGCTGGGGTGTGGGAAGACTCTTTGCCCCTGTCTTTTCCTGATGAAATTGCTTGGGAGATTGAAGTTATTGACTTAGGAAATGTGCCTGTCAAAGGAAATAGTGGAAAACCCCCTATTTGGGAATATTAAGGCTGGAGGGGGTGAAGACACCTGGATGATGGTGTTGGGAGTTAGTCATCAATGTGCGGTTGGTTCTTAGGAAGTTGTCTCACTTGCAGGAGTAAGGACTGCTGGTGGAGT